GCGAAGCGGAGCTTCGTCCCACTTGCGACACAACACAAACACAAAAATACGTCGAAAAAATGTTGAAAAAAAATTTTAATGAACCAAAAAACTTTGTATTTTTTGATGAAAAACAGCCAGGGGCCCAACTAACACTGGAGGTACGCATTTGATATTGAATAAAACAATTTTAGTGATGCGGCAGGGAAAATGTGATTTCAAAAATAAGACTGATTAAAACCTTACTTGTTTCTCTACTAAAATAAGTGAGAAGAGTAAAAAATTTTCAGACAATCAATTTTCCCAAGGAGATAACATTTCTCTTTAAAAACATTAAGGAGTCGTCGCTTCTACAGAAATACTTATCGCAACTGGCTCTTCTAATTAATTTTTTAAAAATCTCACATTGGATTGTGTCACTTTCAAGAAAAATCAAAGCTTCTAAAAAACGGTCTTAAGTTCTAAAAAACAGTTTAAAGAAATTCCTAACTCTATAATTTTTACTGCAACAAGCGGGTTGTGGCCGCTTAGACAGAGACGATTCCCAAAACCGGGTCTATCAATTGAAAACAACCTGTGATTTGGCACTGTATTTTTCGGGTAAAGTCAAAAAGTTTCCAAGAAAAAGGTCTAAAAATTTTGACTTGTTTGAAAAACTTCAAAAATTCGACTTTGCCTAAAACCTTAGTGGTTTCTCTACTAAAACAAGTGAGAAGCCAAGTACCTGGTTGTAACACACTTGCTTGTCGCAAGGGTAAAGCGAATGAAAATTGAATGAACGTGTCTCCAATTAAGTATAGGCAAATTCAACACTTTGGTTGGATCTTGGGCCCTTTAGTTGGATAGCGCCAGATTATTGGAACACAGAGGCGAAGCAGCACTACGCAAATAGGAACAAAAAATTCCAAAAGCAGCTCTAAAAAAAACAAAAGAAATCCACCTAACAATTAATTCGCGAGACTATTATCTGGGAAAGTACTTGGGAGCAAAAAGCTGGCCTCAATTCAACTCGAAATGAATATTTGAGCGCCTTAAAATTTAGATTACTTTGCTGCTCTAAAATGAGATGCATTTACGCGTCAAAGACAACTGCATAAACAATTCGGTGACTTAACACAGCAGAGTTGCACTATAATGGTCCACTTAGGTTGCCGAAAAGGGTCTGAACACTACGAATACTACGGCTCTGAACGCTTGCCTGTTTAAGTAAGCTTCTGAATGAACAGCTTCTGCTAGCCTCAAGAACGTCAAATCACTTTAGTTTATCATAGTATTTATTATCAGCGTTAGTTATCATAGTAGTTTTAAAAGTTTATCAGAAGGAAACTTTTCCGGGCATATTCTCCATGATGAGAAAAATGGCTTACAATTTCGGTGCCAATGAGCGCATGGCTGGAGATGATTGTAGATCACTCTCAAAATGATCCTTCTTTGGAACAGGTTTCTACTTTTTTCTACCTGCTTTCTGAACCAAAAATTTATTCTTTTCGTTCGACAAAAGACAGATTTTAAACAAAGAAAGCCGGTTAGTGTGCAAGTTGCACAGAATGTTCCGACCATCTTTCAAAAAACAAAAAAAAAGTTTTTTTTTTCAAATTAGTGTCGTTTTTTTTCTGTGTGGTTTGATAAAAAGATCTGAACGAAAAACAGAACTTAGGCATAGTCGGCAGTCATGGTAAACTAGGCCAATTGTACCACAGTTTTTGTAGAAAAACGACTATAAAAGCAAAAAAAAAATCGTAAAAAATTGTTATAAACTTAACAAGAATTTTTTCCCATTTTTTGCAGAAATTTTTTGAATTTTCTTGAATCCCAAAATAGCGTTCAAAAACTAAGTTTACCCGAGTAAAACTAAGTTTTCACGGCTTAAATTAAGCTAAATTAATTCGTGTAATCCTCCGCACGTAATTCTTTTCAAGTGTCATAGAAAAACAAAAACGTTAGACAATGTCGAGTGATAAATTAACAGAACTCCTTCAAAGTTTTCAATTCTTCTTCGTACCATGAAAAAGATTATCTCTGAGCTTCATAAATATACTGTGCAATGACAGTAAAACATTGGTGATGAGGATATAATTTTTCCGAAAAGTCAAAATTAGCTTGAATCGACGCTGATATGAGTCTGGAACAATGTTTTGCGAAAATGAACTCCGATTGCACAGGTTTTGAATGAATATACCACAATTCACCTCCTGCAGAATAACTACAGCAAACAATATATTTTGCAAAGGTTCACAAATGGCCAGAAAACCAACGGTTTTTTCTCTCTGCTCACTATTGAAAATAAAATCGAATTTTCTAGTACTAGGTTTGTATGCAATTGGCTTAGATCGAAAAACACCGGAAAAAGATCCATTAAGAATTAAAATCTAAATCACAAAGCTGAAAAATTCATCTGTCATGAAGCGTATTCAGATAGCTTGCAAAATGTTCGAGAAAACCAAAAAAGGTCAGTCATATCCGTTTGAAATAACATGGAAATTATCTCCCCACAAACAACGCACTACAAAATGGCAAAATTATCATTCAAGTCTAAAGCAAACCGATTTAACCACATTTTGATTTTAACAACTTTGAGACCAATGGCTTATTGTGAAAAAAATCTAAGTGACTAATGACAAATACCTTCAAACTCGATCAGTTGGATTTTGAAAATTTCTTCAACGCATACTTTTTAACACTCAGAAATAGGAGATATAGTACGAGGGGTAAAATTGGAGCTGAAAACATTGTCCAAAAAATTGTCAAGAAAAAAGGCAAAAACTTCAATCATAAGGAACAATCAGCCGGCCGATCTCTGAACTCCTTTCGTTGAATTTTGAAAAAGACCAACAGCCTAAAAATGAAACAAGCTCGATCTATATTCTGGCTCCATGTATCTTAACAGCTGACCAGAAAAAACTATGATAACACGGCATGTTTTACTATGAAAAATACCCCATTATAAGACAGTTAACTCGCAGTTATAATGCAAGTTCATGAATAATCATATTTCATAGGTTGGGGAGATGATTTTGTCGGTTTAAGATCAGACCGTTGATCTGACCTGACCATCTTTCCAGTAGCTATTTAGGACATTAAAACTATTAAAAAGGAACCTTGAATTTTCCGCCCCTTCTCCTTTTATAATCAGTTGGAAGATTTATCAATTGAGCAATTCCAGTTTTTAGTGTAGATCCACCCGGATCTCGACCAAAAACTCCAGATCTCGACCAAAAATGGGTATGTTTCGATTGCCTTGGCAGACGAAAAAAAAATCAATATTTATTTGACCCATTTCAGATTAGTTTCGAGCGGCGTGACTAACAGTGGGAAGTGTAATGATGATCTCAACTCTCTTGATAGGAAAAAAAGGAAAGAAAAACTAATTTCTTATTGACAATTAAATTTTCTTCGTCGGCTAAATTGTTTTGATCAGTAGAAAAAATTGACGTGGATTTCGTCTTGATTGCAATAAAAATCGGGAAGTTGCAACTCATTTCATATGCAGGCTTAAAAGAAACTAAAAAACAATTCACTAAAAAACTACGTCCTGTTTATTTTCGCCTGTTTTCAAAACTCAAAAACTCAAATATAAATCTCTCAGTACTTTCGCTTTTTCAGTCGAGGATCTTTGATTGGGTTCTTCTCAATTTTGAAGGGAACAAACTTGATCTCCGGACTTTTGTATTTGTATTTCGGTTCTGAGCTATCTTTATCCTCTCGTTTTTCCTTTTCACTCTTCGACTTATGACACACCTCAACCTTGACCTTTTTGTTCTCATTCCGATCTGATTCTTCTCTAGATGTTTGTCGCTTTGTTATTTCTTTTTTGTACACCGAAGTCACAGGATCTCTCTTAATTGCACGTGAACTAGTAGGTTCTTGTGATTTAGTATCACACTTCGCCGCAGTAACTTTTCTGGCACTTCCATACTCCAATCGCAAATCTTCGTCAATTCTAGATGAAATGGTACCAGAAAAAGAACTACAAGAATCGCCTTTGGATCCCAACTTTGATGCACTTTGCTGCTTCCCATTTGAACAATCCGAAAATTCAGTCCTCGAAGCCGATTCAGTTAATTCCGTACTTGTATCGTTATTCCCACTGGCTGAAGCTGATCCCTGAAATGTACTGTCTTGGCTACTTGTTTCTGATTCTCGTTGTAGCTCCATTTGTGAATTAAGATCTGGGCTTTCGGCGTCCTCAAATATGGCAAAGGGGTCATCCTCAGGGTCAATTTCAATTTCCTCTACCGGCACTGACATGTTCTCAAACACACTACTGATGCAGTCATCCGTTAATGGCAAATCACATTTTAGAAATTGAGGCGTTTCAGAAAACTTCGAGTGATAAGAACCGACTTGTAGGTTTGTAGCTTCTTGCTTCATCATCGTCTTCAGATTCAAATCTGGTTTTGTTTCGAAATCACCATCATGACACCATCTTGTTTGATTTGGACTAGCATCTGGTTCTACTTTTATGTCATTTGCATCAATTTGCTCTTGTTTATGGGCTAGACCTACCGTATCACCTCTTAAGCTCTTCATGCACTCAATCTCATAAGCATCAACATTCAAGAGAAATTTGTTGACAAACTTCACATACTGTGGCTTAATATCTATCGCTTTCTTGAAATGAATAATTTGAACTGCTAACTTTTCTCTAGCTAGACTAATATAGGTACTGTGGGACACAAAAAAAGTTCCTTCAACAGTGACGGATGCTGACCACTTCATGGTACAGGGATCGTAGTCAAAACCAACAGGGTAGCCTAAGAACGAGTCAGACATTCGAATCATCATTGCCCATGGTGTTTCCTCAGAAGTTGGTTTCATTGGTTCACCATTGCGTTGGGAGCCAACGCCAAATTGAGCGTAGTTTTCGGTTTTCATGGTAGAAAAAACTATGACCCTGAAAGACTTTCTAAGGAATTGAAACATGTCCAACACCCTTGATTGACACAAAAGTAACATGTCGCAGAGCGCAACATAATTTAATCAATGAGAGCTTTTGATATGAATCATCTTCAAAACAAAACTATGAGTAAAATATAAATTTAACATTCTAAAATTCACCGGCTACAAATTCACAAATCAAGCACCAAGTAGAGAAACACTTTCACAAAAAATCACTTTTAACATATTACATTCCCCAGTCATTAAACAGCATTCCAAGGTGCCAACATTGGTCATCTACACTCAAGATCAAGATTGCTTGTGCCTCCTAAGAATCGAACTTCTTAATGAAGTCCTCAATTTCCGCCACATCCTCTTTAGAACCAATAAAAATTGGCGCCCTTTCATGAATCGATTTTGGCTTTATTGCGAGGATACGTCCACTGCCTTCCGAAGCAGCACCTCCCGCTTGCTCAGCTACGAATGCCATGGGATTGCACTCGTAGAGCAGTCGTAGTTTGCCATTTGGGGCCTTGGTATTCTTTGGGTACATGAAGATACCTCCGTACTTAATGGTTCGGTGTAAATCAGCTACCATTGAGCCAATGTATCGCGCAGCATAAGGCTCACCGGTCTAGAATATGTACAAAATTCATGATAAAAGAAACTAAAATTTGGATTGAGTTTATATAGACTTTGAATTCTTAAACTTTATGTTGAACGACAGCAAATTGCAAATTAATCTGGTACGCTAGAAGAGCAATTTGATTTCAAAAAAAAAACTGAAAAAGAAGAAAATACTTACCAGGAACAATAAATAAAACTTACAGACGTGGCCAAGTTTCGCATAACTTACAGAACAATGATACCTCACAAAAGCAGAATCGCAAGCCAGCAGGAAAAACATGAAAAGACAGCAACTAAGCCCAAAAAATAGAAAAAAAATTATAACACAAAAACAAAGAACACCATAACAAGGATTTGATAACTCGGCGTCGAGTGACGTTCATGGTATGGAAAACGCACAGAGCAATACAAGCGGCAGTATGAAACGCACAGGAGAAATAGAGCTTCGCATCACTTGCGATAGAAAAAGAATGAGCCTACAACACGAACAAAAAATTTCAAATTACCAAAAATTGCAAAACTATCCAAAATCTTGGATCTGAAATGACTGCACCTTCGGCTTTTTTACGGAGCAGGCGAAGCAAAGAACCGCGCTATATGCCATAGGACACATATATAGCAGAAGAAACAAACAAACAAAAATTGAGATGAAAGACTTCGAAAAAATTGATCGACTAAAATTTTCTTTAATTTGCCTTGATTTAGTCTTAAACAAAAATTTCTTTGAGAAAAGAATACCAAGAAGTTAAAAAAAATGTTAAATAAGAATCGAAACAAATGAAACGGTGACAAATCTGACAATTCTTTAGCAGATACATTGCTTTTTTTGGAGCAAATACTCTTTGTAGAAAAACTTTCAACTTAGGGTAAAATTTTTTGCTTCTATAATTTCTCAAAAAATGCCCATGTGTCGATATATTACAAGTCGAAACCAAGTCGAATAAGGAGAGAAAAAAAAGAAAAAAGACTGATATACTAAAATAGGAGTTGGTAAACTTGCAACCAGTATTAACAAAAACTCTGATGAAACTGACAAACAAACAGCAGCCATAAGTCGGCGTCTATGCCATAACAGCGGCCATAACTTCTTGGAGTCTATGCTCAAACGTTATCTGTTCTCCATCTTTCTGCTCGTTGACGAAAGTAGAGAGGACCGAAATTGCAGTCATTCTGTGAAAAAAAGTGAATTACGGGGGAAAATTCTATTACCCCATTGCAATACGCTTGCTTATCGAAAGGGTATTGAGTATTGCAATACATTTATCGAGCAGCTATTAAGCAGACGAAGCTTGGGTAAACTCTCGTTGAGCCGCAAATAAAATTACAGTCATGAAAAACATAAGTTATTCTGAAAGTCTAATTGTTATCCTTCAGTTTCCGGAGACCAAAGACAAAACAATCAGACAAACGATAGGCCGGCTGATTTTTTTAAAACCACATAAGTTGAGAACAATAACACAGACTCAAATCTAGGACCTTTGCCGTCCCAGGGAAAGTCGATACCTCTAGACCATAAAAACTGCAAAAATTCAGAGCTATAAAACGCACAACAAATTTTGCATGTAATAACTTGAACTGTAATAAACTTAACTAGCGGATACCGCACCTCCGGTGCTTCAAATTTTCAACAACTCAAAAAACTATTCTTTTAGTGTACACTGACAGCACCCAATTACAGGGATCGTAATTTAAAATTTTGCAACGTTTTTTTTTTTTCAAGTTTTCTATACACATTTTGAAGAACCATAAAACTTTGTGAAGTTTTATAAAAGTTCTTCGAAAAATTAAAATGAACTAAAAAACGTCACATCTGGGAAACTAAAAGCAATTGAGCACTCGCATTTGGACGCAATATATGCAGCTCCTGAGAGTAACTTCAAATTTGTAAAGTTTTTCATTCGTTTTTTTAATTCAAATTTTGAAAAACCATAAAAATTTGTGACATTTTTTTTAATATCTAAGTTTATAATGAATTAACAAACGTCACATCTGGGAAATCGAAAGCAATTGAGCAGTTGTATTTGGATGCAAGATTTGCAACTCCTGAGAGTACTCTTACAGTACCCAACTACAACGTTGGAAATTCAAATTTTGAGAAACTTTAGGTTAAGTTTTCTAAAAAAGAGGTATCTTTTTTGAAAACCAGAAAAAATTCACATCACAGAAACAACCAAAATTTTAGCAGTTTTTTTGATGGCAATATTCGCAATCTTTGAAAGTATACAACTACAGGGTTGGATATTTCACTTTCACGAAATATTTTGTAATTTGAGTTTTCTGAAAATTACCAAAAAAACATAAAAATCGTCGTATCTTTTAAACAAAAATGACTTGGGCATTCTTAAACGGAGGCCGAATTTTAAACCCGTGAGATTACTCTGACAGCCCCCAACTACAGGTTAGGAATTTCAAACTTTCAAAAAAAAATTAATTTAATTTTCATGAAAATGTTTTTGAAAAAATCACAAAAAACGTCATATCTGGAAAACTGCAAGACTTTGAGCAGTCCTATTTGAAGGCAAAAATCGCAACTCCAGAGAGTATCCTGACAGAGCCTCACTACAGAGATGATAATTTCAAGTTTTGTGAATTTTTTTTTACCTAAGTTCTCTGAAAAATTTAGAAAAAAATCCTATAAAAAAAATCATATCTCAAAAACTACTAGAATTTGAGCGGCCATAGTCAGAGGCAAGATTCGCAACCCCCTGAGAGTACCCTCAAAGATTCTAATAACAGGATTGAGCTCTTCAAAGTTTTGGAACTTTATAACATTTTTTGTGTTTTTTTGAAAATTTTGGATAAAATCATAAAAAAACGTAATCTCAAAAACTACAAGGATTTGAGCAGTCATATTTGGCGACGAAATTAACAGCTCTTGAGTGTACCCTGAAAAAGCCTCACTACACAAATAGTAATTTCAAGTTTTGTGAAATTTTTATATCTAAGTTTTCGGAAAAATTTTGAAAAAACCAAAAAAAAGTCATTTCTCGAAAACTATAAGGATTTGAGCAGCCATAATCAGAGGCAAGATTCGCAACCTCTGAGAGTACCCTCACAATATCCAACAACAGGATTGAGATCTTCAACGTTTTGGGAATTTTTTAAAATCTAAGTTTTTGAAAATTTTTCGAAAAAATCATTAAAAACGTTATATCTCAAAAACTACAAGGATTTGAGAAGTGATAATTGAAGGCGAAATTCGTAACCCCAGAGAGTACCCTGAACACCTAACTACAGGGTGAGAATTTCAAAAATTAAGAACTTTTTTAAAATTGAATTTCTAGAATTTTTTGAAAAAATCTCAAAAGTTGCCTATCTCGTAAACTAAAAGAATTTGGTTATTCATATATGGAGGCCAGAATCGCAAAACCTGGGAAAATATCCAATTATTGGGTTGCTAATTTCAACTTCATGAAATTAACACTGAATTTAAGCTGGAATATCGAAAAAACGTTAACTATCACAATATACGATATAGCTTCAACGTTAAAAAAATCTTTTGTTAAACATGCAAAAATAATACGTTGAAAAAGCTGAAAGATGGCGAGATAGTGAAGCACGCATTCAAATATATAATTTAAATATATAATAATAGATTGCGTAAACTAGGCATTTCAAAAATCTCGCGAATTTAAGTAGTTAACAAATTTCTGATTAATTAAGATACCGTTATGAAACAAATATCTTTGTTCAGTTCAATAGAGGAATTAAAAAAGCATCAACTGTCTTAGCTTATTACTAATAAAATCTCAAATCACATGGTATTATGATGCTAATGCAGCCTACTGATCAAAAGTGCCACCAAAAGCAGCACATTTATTTGCTACTTAAGTTGGGAAAAAAGTTGTATCGTATTATCAGACTACGCTGCGCTCGTGTAAAAATGAAACCAACTAAATCAGAGTCGGGATTCGAAGGAATTCGACCCCGTTGGCACCATACAGGTCCCCTATTATGATATATATAACACACAAAACCTTTATAAAGGACGCCAAAAACTAATTATTGACAAAATCAAAATTTAGAAATTTTCTCACTCAATTACCACTCAAGATCCACATCTTGAACATAACCACTCAAAGCATTAGAAAATACTAAACATACCTCGGGAAACTTCTTGGAGTCTATGTACTTCTGAACTCCAGTGCTGAGGTATTTGTAGTTTCCTTCGTTAGTACTGTAGATTTTGCCCTTCGGTTGAATTTTCATGTCCGGGTCTGTCAGAACGAACTCACCTATAGTCTAACAAACCAATTGATTAAGAACTGCACGAAAAATAGAAACTACACATGACCCTGAGTTATCATGTTTTTTTTTAAAACTAGTGTTGTTTTCGTATGCGGTCAGATGAAAGACCTGAAAAAAAAAACAAACCTGAAATGAGATATATTCGACGCTCACAGTAAAATAGGCAAATTGGGATAAGGTTTTCGTCAAAAAATGACTAAGAACAAAACACAATCAAAATTTTTTAAAAAAATCAAAAAAAAATTTTATCATTTTTTTTGCAAAATTGTTTTGAGTTTCTTTTTACTGCAAAAATGACGATAAAAGCATGGAGAAAAAAAATAAACTTAGTGAAATTTTATGTCTTCTACTTCTATAACAAACCTGCTCGCTAGCTTTAATTGCTCGAAAGTAGACCAAAATCCAAAAACCAATTTTTCTGGAAACTGGGAGAACTTTTCGAATTTTTTAATTGTTGTTCGAGTTACGATTGAAAGGACTTTCATATGCAATATCACCCGAAGCACTCCGTTGATTAATTGTGGTAAAATTTTTGGGAGAAAAACATAACAAGCCTGCTCGCTCACTTTTTTCGTTTGAAATTAATTATGAAAAACTTCAAACCGGTTTTTCTTAACACTGAAGGAGGTTTTTCAAATATTTCAAAGTCGTTCAAAATCACGATAGAAAAGGCTTTAATATATATCACTCGACCCGTTCGATGATTATTTGTGCCATTACTTTTCAAATTATCGAAACAAAAAGTTCAAATAAGCCTTGAAAATAAAAATTTTTGCTGAGACGGAATCGATCCTACGACCAGGAGATTTAAGGTCCCCTGTCCTCCAAAAAACAGTGAAATTGTCCCAAAGTTGGCAGTAAAAGTTGCTAATTATGTTTAAAAAGAATAGTTGTACTACTGCACTACGCTCGCTGAAGCTCGTAAATGTAACTAAATTGAAAAACTAATGTGTAAAGTTTTAAATTTGATAATTTTTGTTTGCTATCACAGTTGTTGTAAATTTTCCCTAATTTATAACTTTCTGCTGGTGTTTATATAGCTCTCTTCTTACACCAAGAAACGACACTAATTGGAATAGCTTAGTAATTTGAAGAATTTTTCTGAATGTGGTCGGAACATGCTGTGCACTTGCACAGCCACCGATTTAACTTGCATATTTATTCAATTAACTAATGATTTGTTCAAATAAAAGAATGGTATTGGCTGGAACCCGAGTTTGAGTGAAAAATCATGTTTGCAAACAGCACGCAGAGAGCAGTAGAAAGAAGAGTAGCCAGTTGCTATGCAAGCAGCATAGAATACAATGCTGATTTAAAATATCCGAACAAAACCAAAAAATTCAAACGCGTTTTTCTCGAATTGAGTCAGGATTCGACATAAGGTGAAAAAAAATCTCTTTAGAATTTTACCTGTATTAATAAGAGTATTAATATGGGTGAAAATCTCAATGAAAACTTCATCGCACAAAAGGTCATTTGGCTTCTTTTATTTAATCGAAAATTACGCAAGAAAGAAATTCTAGAAAAGTAAAATCTCCAAAACTCTGCATAAGAGAATATATTTTTGCTTGATAGCCGAAAACGGTCAGTTTTACAATACACAATTCAAAATCTTACCTTGAAACAAATCTCAACGTTTTGCGCGAAGTTTTGATGATTTCGGCCTTTTAGGAATTTTTTGAGCTATGTTTTTTGTAATATATTGTTCTTACTAATTAACTAGGTAGTTTAACTTAATTCTTGATTAACTAAAAGAAGCCAAAAAGGCCCATTTGTGCGGTAAAATTTTGGTTGAGGTTTATGCAAAACAAATTGCCCCAAATTAATACTGGTGAAGTTCTAACAACTTGTGTTTTTTTAATCTTTTGTCTCCTCCTGACTCAATTGGCAAAAAAACGCGTTCGAATTTACACAATTTGTTCGTGTTTTCCGGATAACTGAAATTAGCTTTATATTCAGATATCAATGATTGAAGAAAGCAATTCAAAAACAAATTAAAAAACAAGCAAAAAAATGATCAATAGGGCTTCAAAACGCAAGGAAATGCAAACTTGAATGAACAAGCTTTGAAAAAATAAAAAAACTTGCTCGCTACGGGATTCAAACCCCAGAGTTAGGGCCTAATGTCTAAGTGTCTGCATCACAGTAACGTACTGTTTTCAAATAATAGCCACTGAAAAAACGGATGAAACACATGCTATTAAATTGCCAATGCTTAAAGGCTATGCAGGTAAAGTGCAAATTTGTTCAGCACTCTTTTAGGCGAGTTAGGTTAGACTTGTAAAATAAAGCGAAATAAAACAAGAAGTATTTACGAAAGCTTTCATGTTGTTGATTTTTCAGCAAAGGGCAATTGATTTAGGAGACGAAACTGTAAAAATGACGGGTAATAGTAAAAAAAAAAGAACACAGAGGTGAAGCTGCGCTTCGCAACACTTCCGATACAAAACCAGAAAGCCGCTAAACTGAAAAAAAAATGAAAATTTCGAAAAAAAACAGATCTATCAAAATATCAAAACGAATCAGGCTAGTTTTAAAACAAAAACATGCCAGGACAATAGCACGTGATATTTGCATCGGAAGAAAAATTTCCAAGCGGTAACAAAGCCGAAAAGACTTTAGCAGAAACTCTTTAGGCCGAAAAAAACAAGCCTTATCACTTAAAGAAGTTAACAAGTCCCCCTACCCCTCAAAACACACACACGCACATACAAAATTTTTCAGTTTGTCAAAAAATGCAATATGAGACCATTAAGCCGATATAAATTGTGCCCGACACGTGTCAAGCCGAAAGCAAAATGTGCGATTATTTCTTTAAAGATTTTGGCAATTTGTGTGTGAGATCCAGTGAGCATAAACATTATGTTTACCTTGAAACGACGCAAAAAGCAGAAGTCAATCAAAAGACCAGAAGCAACTACAATTTGAAAAAAGTACAGCAAAAAACAATAATACGATGTTGCAATTGAAGCGAAAAATAATAAGCTGACAATTTTTCAGCGAAATATTTCCCGTTTAAAAAAAACAACAGGTTCTGTCAGTTTCGAACCCAGGACTATTGCCGTACCAGGCGCACTCGTAATTTCCAGCCCAAGTGTGCCGGAGACGCAAAAAAATTTGAATTCAATATGAACTGAATCGAAACTTACCAATTCTAATTATGATCATTCAAGGAACTTAAATATTTACGGAAAAAAAGTCTTGCACACGATTGCAATACCCCTGCTTATCGTAAGGGTAATAAGAAAATCACAGTAGATAAATTCGTAAGATTTTTTCATATTTTATGTGGAATCGGAATCATGGCTGAAAGGTCTTCAATATAATACTTCACTTGAACATTTACGAGCTTTTTTGAGGTAGTTTCAATCGGGCGGAAAAAACCCAACCTACTCGATCGTTCCTTCCAGCCACTTCGTGACGTGGTCGAAACAGTAATAGTATAAAACAGCAACGTGATCTTACCGGATCATACATGAATCCGTGTACTCCGGCATCTTTGAGAGCCAGCACTAGCATAGTTGCACTGCCGTACAGAGTATATCCCGCGGCAACAAAGTTGTCACCAGGTTGGAAAACATCAGCCTCCTTGAAGTCTTTGGAGGGATCGGGCTGCAAATTAATAAAAGAAGGTCACCATCTTTACACACAGAGGCGAAGCTTCACTTCGCAAACACTAGCGAGAACTAAGAAGCAGCTCTATAAAGGGCAATAAGAAAAATTGGATATAGGCCTCCAATTAGTAAATATTCGGATATGTCTATGATTCCAACCTGTGACCTAGAGATTAAGAGTCTCACACACTAACCACTCAGACACGGGAACTTAATAGGCAGCAAAAACTAGCCACAAATAAAGCAGAGAACAGATTTTATGCAATTTCCAATGCTACAGAGAGTTTTCCAAATAAGTGAACACTTTTAATAAACACATTTATATGCGAGTTAGGTTAGAAAAAAAAGGTTCGTTATAATACACCAAGCTGATCACTAGTGTACATAAGCGAACGGATGGTGATACTTTCAAGACCTATTATGCGCCCATAATACAAATCTTTAAATTTTGAAACGCAGTGAAAAAAGTATAATCTTGATTTGCTAGAAGGTAAAATCTGTCTGCCAAGAGTTCTTTGTATAAACCTGAAACTGGAAAATGCTTCTATTTTTAGTCGCCAAATAAGGAAAAACATTTTTTGCAGCAAAAGTGAGGAACAAAACGCCTGATTTGTTTCATGATCAGGTTCCTTTTTCCGTACGTAGATGTTTATTCGAGCAACATGCATTCTAAGCCAACTTAATCAAATACTAGCAATCGACTGACCTTTTTCAAAATTCCAAATATGGAGCCAATAGAGGCGAGACATTCAATGTTACTTGATCCGTCCAGCGGGTCAAAGCACACAATATATTTTCCCTGCTTCTCATTGGCGGGTGGAACTCTGATCACGTTCTTATTCTCCTCTGAAACCATTCCACAAACAGTGTACGAAGCACCCAGCATGTTAATCATAGTTTCATTAGACAGTACGTCCAGCTTCTTCTGGTCATCTCCGGTAATGTTTGTGTCACCTGCCAGACCGTAAATCTGATGAATGCCCGCTCTGTTTACTGCACTCGAGATTGACTTAAAAGACGTTAGAAGGGAACTGAGGAGGATTGTGAACTCTCCTGTAGCTCCTGGAACCTCCCGTTGGCGCTCAATGATGAAGCGACTAACAGTCATACAATTGGTATCCATCGCTAGTCTAGAAACTTACGGTTGATATAGAATTTGAATTTACGAGACATGAGTATGATAGCTGGTTACCTGGTACAAATAATTGTCAAAATTATTGCCATTAACATTAAAGTATTTAAAAAAATTTGCCGAAGGGACTGATGTCTATTTCAGGGACCCAACTATCATACTTGTATGCTTATCACAGACGGAGTAACAGATTATAATGCTTCACATCAACTGTACTTGGAAGCAGAAAGAATACGCTCTAAAGTACGCGGCGAATAAGATTATTAATCGTCCAATAAGAACTTTCATATAAGGCGTGTTATATAAACTCATTTGAATCTACCATCAGGAAATTGCTGTCAATCGACAAGCATAGAGTGACCTTATCAAATACACGCCACTTCATAATTATCCTTAAGCCATCACTGGCACGTATATCAACTTCGAAACGAATAGAAAAGTGTACAGATTCAGCTGCGCCTTGAAGGTGTATTTTGATTATCTATGTTCGCGAAATTGGCCAGTTTGGCAAAATCTGATATTAATTAGAGCAAAATACACAGAGAATAGAGATACAGATGAAGAATAATTAGAAACAAAAATACCATTCAGTTTTAGTTTTTTAACAACCTGAAAGCAAAATTTATCCAAAGAAAAGTTCCCACTTGATGAAATAAAAAAAACGCGATCAAAATTTGCAACGAAAGAAAATATCAAAAATTAGTGGCAATACAAAAACCAAATTATTCCAGAAAAAAATCATACATATTACACAGCGGCGAAGCTGAGCTTCGCACCACTTGCAATACAAAGTGAATGACCATGATTCCAAGCAATTAAAGAGACTAATCAAAAATTGTAAAATTCTTCACTAAAACTACCTGCACCATTAGAAAATTTACAAGGAGCATAATGATTGCTACAAAGAAGCCTAACCTTCAAAAAAGTCATTTCTGCAGAACTAAGCCGACAAAAATAAGCAGACAACGATAGTCTAAAAGCTCCGAAATTTTTCAGATTGTCAAAAATATCCCACTGGAATCAAACTACCACTCTTTGTCGTCTCAAGCATAGGTTTAATCACAGTGCCGAAGGTATTCAAAATCTTATGTAATTAAATATTCAAAAATATGAGTTAATAAATATTCAAAATCAAATTTGATAAATTTGCAAATTACAGAACAACTGTAAATTACAGTAAAAACTGTTTCAATCTCAATAAAAACACATTTTTTGAACGGGAAGCCAAAAAAAAACACAGCCACATAACATACCTGAAATCATGAAATTTTTTAATTAATCAAAAAATTAATTACTACCGAACAAATCTAGTTAGTTATACTTCGAATTCTACAGAAACTGATCATGACAGCAAGTGAACATGACTGCCTGTATTTATTATTGACTGTAAGAAAAAGTTATTACGAGAAAAAAGTCTAGCTCCCGATTTCAAGACACTTGCTCTCGCGTGCACAAGCAAGTACGATATGAATGAACATCTCAGCTTAAAAAACATTCAAAAGAAGCCAAGAACATGACTAACGACTCCCGATACAAAATACAATGACTATGATATCGTCGGCAAATCAAAAAAATTTTATAAAAAATTACAAAAATGGGACTCAATTACCTGCACTATAATAAAGTATACAAACAGCAATCGGAAATTAAAAAAAAGACATCTTTGTCGTCATAATCATGGGTTTTACCACTGCGCCAAAGGCGCAGAATAAAACTTAAATTTTAACTTGTAACGTACCTCCGGTGCTTCGAACTTTTAACAACTCATAAAAAAACCGAAAATGTTGGACATAAAATCAGCATCCTTTGAGAGTACTCTGACAGCACCGACTTTCAGGGCTGATTTTGAAAAAACTTCTATTCAAGTTTTTTCACTTCAAAATTTTTAAAAACCATTAAGTTGTTTATATTTAAAATCTTTGAAAAACTTTCAAATCTTTGAAAAATTAAAAAACATCTCATCTCCGAATCTAAAACTAATTGGGCAGTCGCATTTGGACGCAAGAATTGCAACTCCTGAGAGAGCTCTTACAGTACCCAACTACAGCGTTGAGAATTTCAAATTTTGAGGAACTTTAAATTAGGTTCTCTAAAAAAAAACTTTTTAGAAAAAACCAGAAAAAAACGTCATATCTCGAAAACAACCAAAAGATTTGAGCAGCCACAATCGGAGGCAAGATTCGCAATTCCTGAGAGTACTCTGACAGCCCCCAAATAAATTCAAGTTTTCTGAAATTTTTTTTTAATAACAAAAAACGTCATATCTGGAAAACTACTAAGACTTAAGCAGTCAAATTTGGAGACAAGATTCGCAACACCTGAGACCTTGAGAGTACTCTGACAGCCCCAAACTAAACGGTTGGGAGATTCAAATTTAGAAGAAACAAAATAAAATTTAAGTTTTCTGAAAACTTTTTGAAAAAAAAATCACATTAAACGTCAGATCTCAAAAACTACAAAAATTTTAAAAGTCATATTTGGAGACAAAATTTACAACTCCTGAGAGTACCCTGACAGAGCCTCATTTTAGAGGTGGGAATTTCAAATTTTGTGAAATTATTTATATCTAAGCTCTTTTAAAAGTCTTTTTAAAAAATCCTAAAAAACATCAAATCTCGAAAACTACAAGAATTTGAGCAGTCATATACAGAGGAAAGATTCGCAACTCCTGAAATTCCCCTCACAATTTCCAACTACAGGATTGAGGTCTTCAAAGTTTTTGAATTTTTTCTAAATCTTAAGTTTTTAGAAAATTTTGGAAAAACCATATAAAAAGTCATATCTCGGAAACTATAAGGATTTGAGAAATAAGATTTGAAGACAAAATTCGCAACCTCTGAGAGTACCCTGACATCCCCCAACTACAGGGTTGCGGATTTCAAATTTTCAGAAACTTTAAAAAATTAAATTTTTCTAAAAATTTTTTAAAAACCTCGAAATTGCCGTATCTCGTAACCTAAAAGAATTTGTTTATTGATATATGGAGGCCGATATCGCAACATCCGGGTGAAATCAGACAGCATCTCACTATTGGGTTGATACTTTCAAACTTGGTGAAATAAACACTGGAAAATCGAACTAACAAGAAAATCGAAAAGAAAATCTTAACCATTGCAATATACGATATGGCTTAAACGTGAAAAAAAATTCTTTTGTTAAACACGCAAAAATAATACGTTGAAAAAACTTAAACATGGCGAGATAGTGAAGCCCGCATTCAAATATATAATAGATTTATAATACGGCAAGTAAAACACTTCACGTTTTCGCGTGCGAAGTCTATGAATAAAGTTCTTTACGGAAAAAAAATCTTGAAATACCCTGGCTTATCGCAAGATCTAACAAATACGATACCAATAACAGAAGATGAGCTGAATAAAATTCGTCATTTATTTGGACCCATCTCAATTTTTCAAAAAAAAAAACTTTAATTTACCTCACTTCCACTTCGCCTAACATGTCTCAAATAACTAAAACCTAGCGACAGGAGAAATAAACGGAAACAAACGTTTGAACGAAAATTAGTCGGCTAAACAAAATGAACTCGAAAATGATTTTGTCGAAACCTCTCACTTTTCCACACTCGAAGTTTAGACTTGGGCAGTCCTACGCGTTGATAGGATGCGGCAAGTTAAGCGAACGAGCGCATGAAGCACATCCGGTGCTTCAAACATATTATTTAACAAAGAAATTGCTTTTTTAAGTTATATAGAAAAGCAAAATTATGCAAACAGAAATTGAAAAGTAGGCCTTGAAAACTAATAAGAAAACGTCCTATCTAGGAAAGTAAAGGCGCTGAGCAGTTTTTTGAGACCACAAGTAAACCTCCTGAGAGTTTCCTTTTCATGTTTCCGTTTGCATACCACAAGTAAACCTCATTTTCATATTTCCGTTTTCCGAAAACTTTGTTAAATAAAAAAAGCCCGTTTATAGAGCTATACCCAATTATATAGTGGGAATTTTAAACTTTGAGAATCCTCAAATCTAAATTTTCTGAAGCTTTTTTAACGACTGTGACAACCCTGCCAGCAACCAACTACAGGGTAGCGAACTTCAAGTTTTGTGAAAAAATCTTTGTATCGAAATTTTCGGAAAAGATTTGAAAACTTCAGAAAAAATCTCGGATTATAAAAGAAATTGAGCATTCATATTTGGATGTAATATTTGAAACGCCTGAGATTATCCTGAAAGGACCTCACTAAAGTTATATCTTGGAAAAAATCAGTTTAGCAGTCGCATTTGGAGGCGAGACTTGCAACCCCTGAGAGTATCCGGACAACATCAAAATACAAGGGTGGAAATTTTAATATTCGTGAACTTTTCAAACTGAACTTTTCTAATAACTTGAAAAATCAAAAAAAATCGTTATATCTCCGAAGGTAAAATAAAACGAGCAGTTAAAATTGAAGGAAAAATGTTCAAATTCTGAGACTACCCTGGCAGCGCACCCAGCTATAAGGCAGTAAAATCCCAATTTTGTGAAATTTTTAAATCTCAGCATTTTAAAACCCTCTTTTTATAAATCAGAAAATCTTCTCGGAAATTGAAAAGCATTTCAGCAGTTGCAATTATAGCCAAAGTTTGCAACCCCTGAGAGTATCCTGACAATACTCAACTGCAGAGGTGGGAATTTAAAATTTTTTAAGGCAAATTTTCGAAAATTTTTAAGATCGTAGAAGGACCCAAAAAAACTTTTTTTTCCATTTTTTCTTCATTAAGATATATAGTATACAACTCATGGAGAGTTCACAGGCCTTATTTCATCATTACCTGTCAAAGGTGTGATGAGAAAATCAAAAGTGAGCCGAAATGGCCATAGCCAAGAATTTCACCTTGGCTCAAATTTGAATTTCTCAAGTTCTAGAAATCGCATTATAGCGAATAAGGGCTTGCTGGAAAGCTCTTATCAATGAGTAGACGTGAGACGTGCATCAAAAACTCAGCGTTGAAAACAATCTTGGGTTAAATTCTAAACCTAAATTTCCTTTTCACTGCCAAAAAGTGACATTTATAGGGCTAGAAAGTAAAATTGTTAAAACATAAAACAGCTCACAAAATTTTTTTAATCTTAAAAATAAAATCACCATCGTGATCACCGCTCAAAATGGGGCCTTTTCAAGCTAAAAATTTGTCTGAGACTTCTGTAAAGTGCATTAGACACATTTGAGGTTTAATTTTTATAGGTTTGACGTTCAGATTAAATCCGTCAGTAAAGTTTATTCTCATAGAACGACATGTTCGAGAGTATCAGTATTCACTCCAAATTTGAAGATCATGAAATGACC